GAAAATGAAACTAAGAGAAGCAATTTCACTGATGACTTTGACCTTTCGGAAATTATCATCAATTTCCAATTTGCCTTAAAAGCTTGCCCTAAAAAGATTCATTTATTAAGCAATACAAACTGCACATGCTTTTCTCCACTTGAACGCTGATTTATGTTTGGAAATCCAGCAGCTAAAAGCATAAGAATTGCTAAAGCACTGCTATTATTCATTTGCATTAGATTTAGGTTTTAAATGCCATTATTTTCACCCTCTTATTAATATCATACCAACTCCACCATGAGTGTAACTGGAAACAATTTCTAAGCTAAAAGTACTAGTCTAGTGGTAATATCACAAGACTATGAGTGAACCAAGCAGTAGTGGTTCAGATCCCTGATAAGATTCTAATATCCTTTACCAAATGTTGTCAAATTTTCTCTCTTTTTGTCAGTGCCAAAGTTGTCCAGAATATGTGTGCCCCTTTGCCTATGGACATGCATTGGCACGCGCTGGCTCGGCTGGGTTGCGACTAGTTGCGTACAGTTCACAGGGTGTTCATGAATGTTGCCATAAAACTAAATACACTTAAAATTCTGTCACTTAATTCAAGCATTTGCCCGCATCCTCCCGCATTCTGCCACAAATACTTCCCTCATTGACACACAAGATGCGCCACCCAAAATGAGGGCAAATGTAAATGGAGCATTTGTGTTTTAAAGCCCATCTGTATTAATTTACAGGAGAGATTAGACCACCCTGCAAGGGTACTGATAGGTGGATATCTTATCAAATCAGCTCTCAATAACATAAGAAGAAGAGGATCATGGGGGACTAATGGTCACCGATTAGGCATTGTTTGCTATATAGAGGGGGCAAGGTGATATAGGTAGTGCAGTGGGGCTTTAAGCTCCTTTGTATTTCACTCTGGCAAGATTACCAGCATAATTTTGAATTATGCTTCAAATGAAAACAGATCCTGGATGAAATCACTTCACTTTAACAAGCTGCGCATAATGAGTGCCTAATGAGCGCATAATTAATAGACCATAGGATCTGTGCAAAAAAAGACCAATTACATCCAACAGAATAACAGGCACTTAATATCCAAGCTATTAAAAAAGAAAAAATGACTTTAATTGTAAGTTAAATTTAGCTGTCAGTCAAGATATTAAAACTGCTTCTATATTTCTTTGTGATTGGTCAGCCTGAGCCGATATATCAAGCCATTACCTAACCTTTCTCCATCCACTAATCAAACACTGTTAAGTGACTGCCCTGCCCGGTTGGAAGGAAAGTGACTATTAAGTCCTCTTTACATAATCAATAAAACATGCAGTTGTTTCTTCACCCAAGAGAGCCTTTAATGATCTACTCTCTCCTTGTTTGGTTTTGTACCCCACCCCCTCCTCTACATATCAACCACTATTTCACACACGTTCCACTCTCTCATCCCCCTCCCCAGTTCTCCATTTGCCCCCCCCCCCCCTCTATCTCTCTCTCTCTCTCTCTTTGTGAGATATTACTCCCTCCGAATGCAACTCTCATTTCTTTCAGTCAATAAGTGTTCTGGACACACACACAAAAATTGTCATTATTTTCACGAGCTTGTTTTAAATAACAGGCCAAATCCACTCTCTCATCCCCCCTCCCAAGTTCTCCCCTTGTCCCCCCCCCCCACCCCCCCCCCCCCCTCTCTCTCTCTCTCTCTCTTTGAGAGATATTACTTCCTCTGAATGCAACTCTCATTTCTTTCAGTCAATAAGTGTTCTGGACAAATTTTTTCATTTTGTCATTATTTTCACGAGCTTGTTTTGAATAACAGGCCCTATTTGTTTCGTCAATGATTCTTATGGCAGCTTGGTTGTTTCATATCACCTTCCCAAATCCAATCTCTTCCCAGTGTATTAATCAATTCATTCACAGCCAGTATATCAAACTCCTAACAGCTCCTTTGTATTAATAATGGTAATCAATATCTCTTTTATTCCTCTTCCCACCTCTCTGCTCCTTTCTCCTCTCCTCTTCTTTCTCTCCCACTTTCCTCTCTCTTCGTTCCCCCCCCCCCCCCCCTCTCCTCCTCCTCCTCCTCCTCCTCCTCCTCCTCCTCCTCCTCCTCCTCCTCCTCCTCCTCCTCCTCCTCCTCCTCCTCCTCCTCCTCCTCCTCCCTCCCTCCCTCCCTCCCTCCCTCCCTCCCTCCCTCCCTCCCTCCCTCCCTCCCTCCCTCCCTCCCTCCCTCCCTCCCTCTCTCTCTTTCTCTCTCTCTCTTTCTCTCTCTCTTAATCTCTCTCTCTTTCTCTCTCTCTTAATCTCCCCTCCCTCTTCTCTAACCCCTTACTCCTCCTCTACCCTTCACTTTCCATAATCATCTTTTCTCTCCTCCATATCTGTCTTCCATCTCTTTCCTCTCCCCCTCTCTCCACATTTTTCCTTTTCTCTCCCATTCTCTCCTACTCTCCTTCTCACACCCAAACTCTCATTCTGTTTCTATCTCTCTATCGAAAATTCTTAAGCATGTTTATAACAATAGGCCTGCCTTCATCAGCTCGAGTTGGCCAAAAAGCCTGCTATTTCTGATTCAGGAAATTAGCCTGAAGTTACAAATTGCGTCATCTTCAGCTCAAAACTCGAGCTTGATAAATTTGCTCAGTGTTCACGCATAGTGCGAGTTTTCATGCTGGTGAAGACGGACCAAACATATAGCGGGCTATTTTGCAATCTAGACTAAGATATCTTGGGAATATTTCCAGAGCAAATAGCCCACTATTTTGTGATAATTTCCTGAATCCGAAATAGCAGGCTTTTTGGCCAACTCGAGCTGATGAAGCTGATGAAGGCAGGCCTAATCTTTAACAATATCTTCTGGGAACCAGATAGATGCTCATCAATGTTTGAGCGTTGGTACTTTTTTTACTTGAAAGTACCTAACTTAAAGCCTATCAGCACTAGTTTGGCCAGGAGGGATTAGACCTCTATGCATGGTCACTGACAGGTGGCATTGTTTGCGAGAGTGCAAAAATCGACTTGCGACAAAGTTGCTTATGTGATGTTTGAATAAAACAATTTGGATTTGGGTATTAATTCAGTCTTTGCAGATCCAAATAACATCCCTAACAAAATTAATCATGCCACACATATCAAATATCGAATATCAACGAACATTTGTGCGCGTGTGTGTGGGTGGTGTGACTTTGCCCTTTGCAAAAAGGATATGCAATGCATTTCATTTGATACATTTAATTCATTCTCTCACTCCATTAATCCCAACATAATACGTACTGTACGCGTCACTTTGGCGCAAGTCGATTTTTGCACTCTCGCAAACAATGCCTCGTGTTCATCCAAGCGTGAACACATACAACAAAAAAATGATACCAAATGATTTGGAATAAAACACACTTTCATAAGATGTATAATAATTTACTGTTCATAGATGAATTTTAAAATAATTAGCAATTTTCTAGGTGTAAACTTTTTTTGGACTCACACGGTAGAGGGGGCAAGTAGTTACAAGTAGTGCAGTCCCGCTTTAATGCCCTACTCTATGTCGTTCCATTAATAATTAAGTTGCTACCAGAATCCATTGACACCTTAATGACCATGTTGTTGCTTAGTTACCCACTGTAAACAAGATCACATCTACAGGTTCTATTTTTAAAAACTTATTTCTAAATTATTTACCGATCGAGCATGTCATCTCTAACATTAGGCCTGTCCTCATCAGCCCGAGTTCGCCAAATAGCCCGCTATTTCTGATCCGGGAAATTAGCCAGATCAAGAAATAGCGGGCTATTTGGCAGATGAAGACTCAAGAGTGGGCTATTTGCTCAGGAAACCTGCCCAAGATATCTTGGGCTAGTTTGCAAAGAAGCCCGCTCTTTTGCAAAATAGCCTGCTATTTGTGGTCTCTATACCAGCCTAAAAACTTGCAGTGTGAGTGAACACTGAGCAAATTTCTCAAGCTCGAGTTTCAAGCTGATGAAGACGTGATTTGTATCTTGGGCTAATTTCCCGGATCACAAAATAGCAGGCTATATGGCCAAGTCGGGGCGATTTGAAGACAGACCTATTGAGAGAATTCCATTTGTTGCACCCTCCTTTCTCTCTCTCTCTCTCTCTCTCTCTATGCTTTTCATATTATTAACATCATTTTCTTGTTGATTCTTCTACTGTTGTACTTATGAGTCAGAAAGAAAGTAATTTTGAGGGAGGAAGAGGGCTTCTGTACTTGACCCTTGTTAAAGCTCATTCACACCAGACATGACGTGGCAAAATGTTGCTTTCTTTTTAATAAGATGATATGAAGTGTAATGCACTTCACATTTCTGTATCTTGCATGAGGAGGAGAGGAGGGGGAGGGAAGAGGAGAAAGGAGAGAGGGGAGAAGAGGAGGAGGGGGAGAGGGGAGAAGAGGAGGGGGGAGAGAAGAGGAGGAGAAGGGGAAGAGGAGGAGGAAGGGGGAAGAGGAAGAGGAAGGAGGAAGAGGAGGAAGGGGGAAGAGGAGGAGGAAGGGGGAAGAGGAAGAGGAAGGGGGAAGAGGAGGAAGGGGAAGAGGAGGAAGGGGGAAGAGGAAGAGGAAGGGGGAAGAGGAGGAAGGGGGAAGAGGAGGAAGGGGGAAGAGGAGGAGGAAGGGGGAAGAGGAGGAAGGGGGAAGAGGAGGAAGGGGGAAGAGGAGGAAGGGGGAAGAGGAGGAAGGGGGAGAGGAGGAAGGGGGAAGAGGAGGAAGGGGGAAGAGGAGGAGGAAGGGGGAAGAGGAGGAGGAAGGGGGAAGAGGAGGAAAGGGGAAGAGGAGGAGGAAGGGGGAAGAGGAGGAAGGGGGAAGAGGAGGAGGAAGGGGGAAGAGGAGGAAGGGGGAAGAGGAGGAAGGGGGAGAGGAGGGGGGCGGAGGGGGGCTAGAGGAGTTTGGGAGGGGGTCGATGAAGCAGGTTATTACACGTTTTAAAAACGTGGTGGCTTTTTTGCGGTTGTTTGCCGTGCCATATCTGAACAAGCCTTTAGTGTCATATTTTCATAAAACCTACCTTCAAATCTCTGTGAACTATAAGATTTTTGTGACAATGTTCAACGCTCTCCAGGATCTGTTGTATGCAGTGGCTTGCGTCAGCCTCGCTGTAATACTCCCTGGCTACGATGTCTTCAAACAGTTCTCCCCCTGTAACTCTGAAAAGTCAATCAAGAAAATAATAATATAAAATGTATCATACCCTTGATAAAACATATAAAATAATACAGTCAAACCTGTCTACAGTGACTGCCCAAGGGGATCACAAAAAGTGGTCTTTGTAGACAGGTTCCTTTAATACATGTTTTAATGAGAAACCATCTTCAAGGGAAACAAAAAATGTGTTTGTTGTAAACAGGTGGTCTTTGTAGACAGGTGGTCACTAAAGCAGGTTTGACTGTAATAACAAATGTAGAGGGTTATTGTATGGCACTCATGTCTGTTAAACTTGGCACTTTGTGCTCTAGCATGTCAAGAAAATAATTCCTGCCAGGTAACCCATATACCTCACCTGGCTTAAGTGTGGCAAAGGTTGATTAATTTCTTGCCACAGGATGTTGGTGATATGGCAGGGATTCAAACCTCATACCCTGTGGCTAACAGTCTGGTGACTTATCCATTACACCACAACACCTCTACATCATACTATATGCCTATATACAAATCAAACCAAATCTGTAAATGTAAAACATTATCGGATCCAAAAAATTTGGTGCTTGGGGCTCATCAGCATAAATTGGTGAGCACAATTCATTTTTTATGTTGACCAATTTTTTTGTTATTACTATTGTTACTGTTATTGTTATTGTTATTGTTATTTTTAAACTGATCAAATTTTTTGATATGTGATCAGCTCTTTATACAAAAATTATTATAAATATAGAGCTCTTATGGTCACAAATGACTGTTTAAAAATGGTTTACAGTGTATAAAACCCCGTCATTGAAATCAATTAAATTCAACAATACAACTCTCGCCAACCTGAACCACTCATGAAATTCACTATCATTTCATGTGCAAAAGACCCTCTGGTTTCACAGCATAAAGCATACCCAGACAACGATTAAACCCTCACATTTTTCACTATATTCATGAAAGAAGCTACAGCCATTTAATGTGCTTTTCACCCCTCTTCCAGCCTCTTTCTAGATGAATTCTAAAGCGACTTGATTTGTATTCAGCTGGGCCGATAGAAGATGATACTTGGCGATGACTGTATTTATGTGTACACTCCATGAATGCCACATGACTGAAGAGAGAGGTAAATATCCTACTGCAGAAAGTATTAACCTTTAGGTAGACGTTTCCATCTTTAGAGCCTGTTGAAATCTTGTCTTATTACTGGTTTTCCAGAGATATTTTACATTCTAGGATAGCGCATACAACAGGGGTAATAGTGATCATTTAAAAAAAGGTGTTTTTTTTTCTTCATCAACCACCTCCCCCTTAAGTAACAAAAAAAAGATTCTGGGGGGAAAAATGGCATCTAACAACATTCCCCGCCTTTTGAGTAAGAAAATTGGAGAAAAAAAATTGGGAAAAATCGGGAAAGAAAGGGAAAAATCAGGAAAATGAGGGGAAATTCTGGAAAATAATGGGAAAATCAGGAAGAAAGAAAAAAAATCTGGAAAAAAAATCCCCCCAAAATTGGGAAACCGATTTAAATAAGGTAATTATCAGGCCTGATACAAAAGCAATACATTTTCATAATGACAAATTCTTTGGTTAACATCTTTGCAAGACTTGATATAAAAACATTTTTCTTGTTTGCTCTTTAGGTCATAACCATTTGAATATCTATAATTTGGGGTAGATATTATGAATTCTAACAATATAGGGGGTGGGGTGGAATCACGGGAGTGGTCTTGTGGAAACTCCTGAAAAATCCACAATTTGATAACATTTATTTAATTGTCTGCACCCTGTAATGTAATTGAGGATGATGTGTCTTGCATTTTCAAACCATTCCCCAAAACAAATTTACACGTCTCAAGAGCAACACCTCCACTAGACTGCATCATCAAATTCTGAGAATTTCTTTGAAGTCATGTTTACACTACTATCCCTCTAGAGTGTACCTTACATCCAAAATATCAGATCTTGATATTACTCCTGTATTAAAAAATGTGCAAGTTGAAGGTATTTGTTCATTTGCTGTCCCATGTGTTACCAAATATAGTATAAATAAACAAAAAGTAAATGATATAATTGTAATTTTATTTTTTTTATCGGTCGGAATCAAACTCTGGTAGGACAGTCAACCTGAATGCCCCATCAGGTATTTCCAAACTGATGATGAAGTCCATAACGTATGAAGCAATATACAAAGGACTTGCCCACAAATATAATGCATAGTTGAATATTACAAATTAAATCTTGTGAATATCGCATGTATGATCATATCTCTACATTTCTGATTCTGTTTTTGTATGAGCTGTTCACTGCGTCACGTGCAAACACAGCTTCATTCAATTTGAATACAATGGTCAGACTGATCTATTGAGCAACGGTCCGGTGAGAATCGCTTTACTTTTAACCCAGATTCCACTACGGGCCTGTCTTCATCAGCTCGAGATTGTCAAGTATCCCGCTATTTGAACTATCCCGATTGCAAATTATCCAGTTAATTTGCGTTTTCATCAGCCCAAAGTTGCAATTAGCGGGATATTTGGTCGAGATAATCATCCTAAGATATCTTGGGCTAGTTTGCAAAATATCCTGCTATTTGGCAAAATACGTCCTCACCATGTCCTCACTCGTACTATGCTCAAAAGCTGAAAAAATATCTCAAGCTAATTTCTTAAGCTCGAGTTCCAAGCTTTGAGGTCAAGTCTCGAGCTGATGAAGACGCGATTTGTAACTTCGGGATTATTTCCCAAATCAGAAATAGTGGGCTATTTGGCAATCTCGACCTGATGAGGACAGGCCTATTGTATGAATGTAGAATATACAAGGTGAAGGAATTTTCCCTCATCAGTAGGAGAATCCCCCCCCCCCCCCTCCCCAGGAATAGATCTAGTGAAATTTCATTTTAGATTTACATTTGCCTTTTTGTAAAAAAATCCCAGGTCTTCCTACCCAGGTAAACCTATATGAGAGTACATAAGTTAGAATTATAAAGTGAGAGTACATAAGTTAGAATTATAAAGTCACAAATAATGACTTGACTGCAAAACTGAAAGAACTTCCAAGCATGACGTACATTAAGAAATGTCTTTTTCATAGCATGTGAGCCACGCCTGCGATACACCACATAATATTTGGAGAGTGATACAAATACCAATACCATCATACCCATTGTCAATTCAAAATGAAAGGCTGCCATAGTCACACACGGCCCCCACCCGCGATCGATATCCATGACTTTCCATGTCTTTAGAATTTTTGTTCATATTCCATAACTTTCTATAAGAATTTATTTTTCAATGACTTTCCATGTTTTTTCCATGACCGTACGTTTCACATTTATTGTATGTAAAAAATGTAAATGTTAGTGGAGATCAGTGTTGCCCACAGAGTTACGCTTATGGGCCTTCAGCACATTTTTCTTAGCTACAAACCCTTCCTACAAGTACCGATTTTACATCATTGTCGGTGATATGTGAATGGCCATTTAGGCATGATGAAATATAAAAAACATATAAGGAAATCATTTCTTCACAAGGTCTCAGCAGTTTTAATACCGCCCCTTATGTAAACCACTTTGTTCCGTAGTGATTATGATCGTGACTCTATAAACAAATCCTCTCTACAAAAACTGATATTACAGATTCAGTCATCATTATAATTATTGGTGATATGTGAATGGCCATAAAGGCATCATGAAATATAAAAAACAAATAAGGAAATTAATTTCTTCACAAAGCCTCGGCAGTTTCGATACAACCACTTTGTTCTGGAGTGATTATGATCTTGACTCCATAAACAAAACCTCTCTACAAGAACCGATATTACAGATTCAGGGTAATAGTATATTTGTAAAGCACTTAGAGACATTTGTATCAAGCGCTATATAAAAATTAAATATTATTATTATTATTATAGGTGATATGTGAATGGCCATTAAGGCATCATGAAATATAAAAAACAAATAAGGAAATTAATTTCTTCACAAAGTCTCTGCAGTTTCAGTACTGCCCCTTATGTAAACCACTTTGTTCCGGAAACATTATGATCTTGACTCTGTGAAAACCACTTTATAGTTTCAAGAATGGCAAGAAGTGAGAGATTAAAGGGCAAGCCAGGACAGACGACACGTTGCGCAAGACGGCCGTTACTGCCATTGATAATACAGTCAAACTTGCTTTAGTGACCACCTGTCTGCAAAGACCACATTTTTTGTTACCCTTGAAAATGGTTTCTCATTCAAACATGAACTAAAGGAACCTGTCTACAAAGACAAGTTTTTGTGTTTCCCTTGGGCGGTCGCTATAGACAGGTTTGACTGTATATAGCTCTCATATGGCCTTTTTGTGAGTAACCACATTCAAATCAATATACAAAAAAAGGTAATATTCAAAGAATGATATCCATGGTTGAGTAGGCACTTCTCTTTCCCGTCTTTCTTCTACTTGTATCTCTTTCTTTCCTATTTTTTGCTCCTTTCTATTCTTTCTGCGAAACCTTCTTCTTTATGCGTAGGAAAACGCCAGCAACCGCGGACCACTCCATAGAAAACTACCTCAAACCGCTGACATACCTGCAATGGGGGACCGTCCACGTTTGCGATACCGGTTCCGCCGTATCAAATTTACAACGTAGGGGGCGTTTGAATATTAGATGTCACAGCGTGTAGGCAACATCAACTGGATCAGTCCGATGTGTATCGCGAAATGTCACAGCGCCCCCTTTTGACTGCGCGGGAGAGGCGCTTGCTACCTGGATCATCCCATAGGAGGTACACGTCCACGGTTTGATGTAGTTTTCTATGGAGTGGTCCGCGGACACACACACAAGTACTAAACTTGGTCCACGGTTGACAGCATTTCCCTGTAGTGGTGTGCTTGAATTATGCAAGTCTTTTACTTTGTATTATTTATGTTCATTATGATGGTATTGTTTGTTACAGGGCCCTGATTACAAGCAGATTTCTGCTACTTAGGGGTCCTAACCATTATATAGGAACGTATAATCTTCAAAATCCTTCTTTTAGTTTATTCAATTATGAACAGAACAGCTCCTGAATACAACCATTCTTTAGTTCACCTCTACCAACCCACACATACCCTCCGATCCTCGAACTCCGGTCTTCTACACATACCGCTTTCAAAGAAATCTTAAGGGGAACAAGCTTTTGCTCATGCCGGACCAGCCCTGTGGAATTCAATTCCACAGGAGCTGAAGAACTCCAATTCTTCAACATCTTTTAAGAGCAACCATAAATCCCATTTTTTTCAATTTTGCGTTTTGAGGACAGACATTCATTTATTCTTTCATTTTTGTATTTTTCTTTCTTATGTAAATGTACACGATTCCTTTGTAATGTGTTCCCTAATATTTTGAAGCGCCTTAAGCATTTAATTAGAATGGATACTAATGGTGCTATATAAATCTCATGTAAATTGTCATTATATTGGTTGAATAAAGATTTGAATTGAACAAACAATTTTTATATCAAACCCATACAATGTCAAGCATATCGAGTTTCAGTTTGCTGCTTTTCACATTTGATAGCTGTGTGGCCATCTACATATCATTTTTCAAAAGGTCAGGAAAATATTTTGCAAGAAGAGCCCGAGGATAAAGTAAATTCTCTGCTTGAAAACATTTTCAATTTTCGAAGAGTATCTGTCATCAAAACATGTTTTGGTCTTGATGTAAAGGGTTCCATGTCATTATACTGAATTCAAAATATGAGCTTTAAAGGGATTGGGGAGCTTCAAAGGGATTGGGTAACTTTGTCTCATATTCTGAAACAAAATTCTAGATTTAGCTTATGCTGCAATGATAATCATAAACCTTTAGGTCAGTCAGGAACCCTATGACTTTTACAAGCCGATCGCCTGTCTGATTATCAAGATATTTATGATTGTGAAATCGAAACAAAATTTTGCGTTTTCATAGCAATACAGTCTATTGGGGAAAACGGAGTATGTTAAAACCGGTCACTCAAAGATTTTTACTTTTTTGAGGAACTTCATTATCATTTTGAAGCGCAATTTTTTGAGGGCTTCAATATTACACAATATCACAAATACTGATAACATGTAGGGCCGTGCATCTCAGATTTAACATTGTTAAACGATCCCTTTAATTATTTTTTCTGTAAAGAGAAATGGCAGTTTCATTTCACTCACAGAGGTCATAAGAATGACTTGTTGAGCATACTAGTCGATGCACACAAACGTGATCACACAGAATAGGACACGGATGGAACCAAGGTTGGACTTGTTATTCTGTGTGCATGGATAACTGTTTTCACAATCCTGCATATACTATTAAAGGCATTGACATTGTTGAACAATGTTAAACCTGAGATGCACACAACTGTCTGGAAATGACAAAGCAGTGGCTAACAATAGAAAAAATCTTGACATGCCCTTTAGAAATATTACATTATGAATTTTTTTGTTGACTTATGATGCTAAGAAGTCCAAAGTCTTGTGGAAAGAGAGATAACCAAGAAAATAAATATTGAGGGAGATGCATCTGTCAAAGAGAATTTGTAGAATAACGTGGCCAGACACTGTAAAGATATATCTGGGAGATTTCTGCGTTTGTGTTTTCTTCTATGGTGATTTGTTTTAGGAATAAGGATAGATTTATGTGCAATCAAGAGCATTTCGGTGGCCCCTTTTTATAGGCCCTGCTTTCTTTGGGGTCACCAAACCATCATTGTATTATTCTTAATTCTTGATGTAACTTATTTTGATTGTATATATATTTTGATGGTTGAACAAATAAATGAAATGAAAAATTCAATATCACTAAAAATATCAAATATAATGTTCAAGAGTCTGGTGAATAATCAAAATTAATCTTGTGTTGTTGTGAAGAAAAACTGCTAAAATGTACTAATGAGATATTACTCACAGTCAATCTGATTGTTGATTAAAAAAGACGAAAACAAATCTAAAATATGATTGCTATTACCTAATAAAGCTAGAGGCAAACTTGAATGCACAGTGTTGCCCTAGGGAAACGTACATTAATGTTCTTCAGGCTTTTCACTCCACACAACCAAACATTGTGGTTTCTCTTTCTTCAAATTTAATCTTTTTTTACCGTTTCCAAGGTTACAGACAATGCAAACTTGTAGATTATGACTCAAATCACAACCGAAGAAACCGAAAGCAGGGCTCAATCACGATCAGGTGGTGTTTCACAAAAACTTGGCATCTGTGACAAATGATATTTGTTGTTATAAGCTACTGAAATCCTTGCTTCTGATTGGTTAACAGCAGATTTGTCACTGACTTTTGTCATTTGTCATTGAAAAAAGGCTTTGTGAAACACCCCCCAGATCTCAATCACGACCAAACTAAGCATACATGTAGATGAACACTCCATATGGACATAGCTGCCAGCTTTGTTCAGTAACCATGGCAAACAAACCGTTTCCGTGGAAACGAGGTACACACATGTGTCATGCGTAAAGAGGTCGATCAACTAGAAACCATGAGTTGCACATTCGAGGGCTAGCTGCGATGCTGATGGAGAGATATTGAGAAAGCTAACCCCCAAGCCTCCAAGGAGGCTTGGGGGTGTTTCACAAAGATCCGAAGTTAAACTTATCTCTAAGTTGGACTTAACAATTATGGAAAGCCGTTAGCATCTATGAAAATATTTTGTAAAAGTTATTTTAAAAGGCATAAAATGTTGATTCAAATTATTCATATTTTTTATTATCTTAGGAGATTTCATGTTCTTGATGTGGAATTGATGAAAAGTCTAAAATACTTGAATTTTTGCTTTTGAATATATTTCATTTTAAGGCTACAAATGGCTTTCCATAACTTTTAAGTCCAATTTAGTGTTAAGTTCTACTTAGGATCTTTGTGAAACACCCCCCTGGGTGGGGAGTGGCAAATGTAGATTAATATCTTGCCAAAAACCATTAGAGTTGCAGCAAGTCTCGACCCACGAACCATGTGATCCACTAGACAAAACCTCTACAGAACTAATGCCTCAGTCACACCTTTGCATATTTGGCTTGCGTATTGCTGCATATTTATTAATGCTGTGCACAACAGTGTAATGAGGTACCCGAGTACACTCCCAGGCTTACAAGCGAATATTCGAGTATTCGGACGCCATGTTTTTTTATAATTTTTTTGAATTTTTTTGTTTGTTTTGATTTTTTTGATTTTTTTTTTGTTTGTTGATCTTCTTTGGATTTTTTTTTTTGCCACCACCATACCACTGGAGCAGTATCTCACGTCGCCGAAAACGCATGCAATTTTACTTTGAGTTGCAGTTGAAGGCGCCGATTTAATAATAATAATAACAGTAAACAATGCTGTTTTAAAAACCAAAGATGGCAGAATAATCCATTTTCCTCCAAGTCCAAACAGAAATCCAGACATTTGGTCCCAGTTTCTGAGTGGTGAGTTTGACAGTGATTGAGTTGGGAAGCATTTTTACCGACGGCACCATGCCAGCGGCCGCCGCTCACCCAGGAACGGGTAAGCGTCGGCTTGGACAGATTTTTTTTTTTTTTTGCGGCCGAATATTCGGGTACTAAAAATCGTACCCGAGTAGTTGTCAACCGTGCGGGTACTCGAGCATTCGACTACACGTCGCAGCCCTAATATTTATGGCAAGCCGTGTTAACATTTATTCCTATTTCTTGATATCAAGAATTTACTTTGCAAAGGTGTGACTGAGTCATTAGTGTAAGACCTTTGTTGCACTCGGTTACCAATCATTTACAAATTAACAAGAAACGCAGCAAGGTTGTTTTTTAGCAGCGGTTTATCACCTCATACCTGAACAAGACTTATGAGTTAATATGAGTTTATACTTACAGGTCAAAAACCAAGTAGTGGAAGCCTTCCTCCGCAATACTATCATGAAGACGAACTGGAATGACAAAAAGAGAGGGAAAAAAAGAGAGGATGATCATTTATTTGTTTGAAATACAAGAAAAAGGGAATAAAGCACAAATAGTACAAATCAAATATAGAAGACGAATAGGCAGATGTTGAATGAACTATCTAAACAATTTATTGAAGTTGACACCTAAATGTCTTGAAGCAATCTTTCTCACCAGAAACGTTTTTGTGTGCTCTACAAATATGAATGTTTTAATTAATGAACAATTCAATTAAATATGTATCAAAAAATGAAAATAATTAAAACAACAACAAGCTTGTCATTATTTAAATTTGCCAATCAGAGATACAAATTACAAACCCAAAAGTTAAATGATTGAACACACATTGACTCAAAAAGCATGTTTGTAAAGTTTATTTTCACAGTTGCCAAATTTTCTAATTTATGATTAGTATTGTTGGGACAAGAAAGACTCTTTAATGTCGCATAAAAAATATTAAAAAAACATCCCCAACACCATACTGTTAACTTTTTATCATCTACTTTCAGATTCGATACTGTCCATAAAATTTGTCCATGAACTTTGTGATTTGTATCTTTGGTACAAGAATGACTGTTTAATGTCATCTTAAGACACAAAAAAACATCCGCAATACCATACTGTTCTCATTTTATTTTCTACTTTCAGATTCAATACTGTCCATGAAATTTCAAAGCAAATACTTGTTTTGAAATGGCCCAAATAAAAAATGATATCAATACCATTATTTTTGCACCTGGGATATCATATATAGATTTGTCTGACTCAACTCCCAAAATAACTTTTGTCTCTAGTTTAGTTTCCCTTAGGAATGTAAAAGAAGATTATGTTTCAACTTGTGCAACAATACTTTCAGTGAGGTAATATAATCATATACAGCATTAATTCTTTTCTATCATCCCCAGACTGTTTTGAAACATAATATTATTTCAATACTATTTGATACTATTTATATGTGTTGTTTTTTTGTAATTTCTTTTTTTATATAAGTAAGTGATTCCCTCTCTCTCTCTCTTTCTCTCTCTCTCTCTCTCTCTCTCTCTCTCTCTCTATTACAAAATTGATTGATAGTTTATTACACACAACCAGTATTTTAGGAAACACCTACCATTAGTTTAATAAATCAATTACTCCGTTATTATTTCATTAATTTATTTCATGTATTCTAAACATGAAGGTCACTTTCACAGTCAATTACACCATCCTTTGTGTGAAAGGTGATGTATTTCTAATTTTCTTGTAGGAGATCATACACAACGGCCGCTACACACATGTACTGGCTGTAGAAGCGAATCTATCTTCGACGCAACTTCCCATCGACATGCATATTACCCAATTTTGTATCCACAGTCACAAAATACCTCTCTCTTCTCTTTTCCTTCCTTTTCAGTTTTTTTTTTCTTCTTTTTTTCGGTGAGGCATCAGCAAAATGCTACTTGTATCATCTGCTCATAATGGATGTATACATGCACAGCCGACCTGTGTGTCTGTGTGTAGGTTTGTGTACACGACGACGACACAAGGAACAAGCGTTTGTGTCGCGTGTGGGTATATATGCATGTATCTGTCTGTACATAAACGATGCTGATTTGTAAATTTTCAACATCCACCCCTCATTCACAACACACACACATACACACACTCTCTCTCTCTCTCTCTCTCTCTCTATCTCTTTCTCTTGTTTCAGTGCAGATCAACCGAGCGAGAGGGGGAGAAAATGATAAAAATTTGAGTAATCGATCGACCAATGCCGAGCCAATGTTCAGAGAAAACAGCAACGTCAAAAGAAGTCATCCACATTTTCCTTCATCTATTTCCCCCATACATGCATGTCATTTATCACCTGATAAGAAAAAATAAGAAAAAATAAGAAAAGGTCTGTTGGTAGCGAGATAGAAGGCCACTAATTTCTGGTTGCAATAACTTGACAGCTTTCATGGCTAATTGCTTTACTTTGTATTCCAAACTTGCTACGAGTAATATCTCCTTTCTCTCCTTTTACACCACTCCATTTTCCCTGCAGAACATATATATATCCCCCTCTCTTTCTTTCTCTCTCTCTCTCTTTCTATCTCCCTCTCTTTCTCTCTCTCTCTTTCTCTCTCTCCCTTTCCCTCTCTCCCCTCTCTCTCTCTTTCTCTTTCTCTGTCTTTTTCTCTTTCTCTTTCTCTCACCCTCCCTCTGTCTAAGACTCTACATCTCTACCTCCAATCTCTCTGACTCTCTCATTTCTGTCTTTCTCTCTCTCTCTCTCAGTTGGACAATCAGAGTTTAACCAGCATTTACCCACGTCCATGTTTTATATTATCTAAAAAAATAGGTGTTTGAGAAAGTGTTAGACATTTCATCAACAAAACTTTTAATCAATTTAAAAATTGCTTCCTTTTTTCAAACGGTAGGGCAGATTTTCCTAGAATCCATAGGCTCATTTACATTGCAGAAAAACAAATTTGAAAAACCTTTGATTATCAATAATTCTTTTTTTTTTGACGAGTGGGGCGTAATCGCCACTTTTCGCTGCTCTGCATGCTTTAGCATTGAAGCGGGAGAGTCACATGACCAAAAGCAGACTAATTCACTGGTGTTTTAAGTATGAGCATTTAACTTTGATAACTTTTATTACTGTAATATGCTTTGTATTGTATTATTCTATTATTGCAAATTATGTCCTGAAGTATGTTAAACTTTAACTTATGTGTATTTTACTTCTTAATTACTTGATGGATGCCCACAATTATAAAATTTCCACACAACTGCGCCAGGAGTGTCATTTTTGACAGACATGGCGCATTATAAATGTTCACTATTATTATTATTATAATTTACACTGCAGAAACCAGTGACATTTCTGCCGACGTTTCAACAAATATACACTCCAGAGGTGAGTTTTTTCTATTGTGTTGTATAGGTGTTGCCTAGCGACTTCCTGCAAAACTCCAGAACGTGAAAAAAAAACAAAGATTCTTGCTTGGCAGTGTAAATACAGCTAATGTGACAACAATTCTTCTATCTATATGCGGCATCTAAACACTACTTTACAATTGTTTGACCTATGTGTGTGTATTTGCAGCCAGATTTTTATATATTTTATATATTTTTCAAAAAGGCAATTAGAAATAAATGAAAGGATGGGATGACAGACCAAAATAACTCTGGGATTCTTAATTGAATATTCCATCAAAGTGTTAATAAGGAATGTAAACTGGTTTGAAAACATAGCCAGATATTGATGAAACAGACAAACAACTAAAATAATCCGACGACATTCATGAAGATTTTCTCTTCATGCCCATATAGACAACATCGTCATTGAGAAACATTACTGTGCCGCAAATAAATATTTCATGAAAGATTTCTCAAATCTCGAAACAATCATGGACATGTAACTCAACAGACAATGAATGAACGACAGACAATGACATGCTGACCTTCAGGGAGACGGTGTTTTCATAAAAATCTCTATTTTGTTAAGGAAACATTATTTTGTGAATAAATCAACGCATAACGCATCGGTAGCTTAAATAAAATTTTCAATATTCTTCCCCAACTCCAATATGGAATATTGAAAATTGGAAGTCATTATGACATAGTGACTCTGAATACAAACTCTACTGCCCCCCCCCCCCTCATAAACCACCCCCATTGTGACAAACTCCATACACATCACACGCATGCACCTACGCCTATGACATTGCATATTTTCTTTCAGCATATGCTTCCATGAGTTGCTACAAAGTCATACCCACTCATGCACTATTCACCTTTACGTGCGTTAGTGAATGGAGCACAAGGCACACATGGGGGCCCTGCATTTAGCCGGTTCGAGTGAGCGGCATAAAGAGACGAGGGGAGAAAAAAATATGCAGCATTTGAAGAGGGAAAAAAAGAGTTCTATAAATGGATGAGATAGCTGTAAGGCATATATATTGCCTCTCCCCCCCCCCCCCCTCCCCATCTCCTCTCCTCTCCTCTCCTCTCCTCTCCTCTCCTCTCCTCTCCTCTCCTCTCCTCTCCTCTCCTCTCCTCTCCTCTCCTCTCCTCTCCTCTCCTCTCCTTTTCTCTTCTCCTCTTTTCTCCTCTCTATATATCTCATTTTCTCTCTTTCTCTCTCTCTCTCTCTCTCTCTCTCTCTCTCTCTCTCTCTCCTTCCCCTTTCTACTCTCTCCTCTTCTCTCTCTTCTCTCTCTTCTCCCTTCTCTACTTGATACAAACAGACCGGAACTGTTTTACAAATATTACTAAAAAAGTGTGGCAGACTTGAACATGAATCAAGTTTCTCGACATATATTTTTTTTGAAAGCAAATTTGAAAGCTTCGGGCAAATCAACAAAGCTTTAGTGTAATACTGAAATATCTAAATATAATTTCTCATTTTGTTTATTCTGCACAAGTACAGACTTTTATGCTTTTTTTAAAGATTTCACACTGCTCCTAGTTGTTCATGAACACAAAGGCTTCTGCTACTGACAAACAGTAGAGATATTATGGAAAACTAGTTTGAAAAATGGGCATTTTCAAGTACAAAGCATATACATACATACAAAATACATATATGTCACAGGGTGAAGAATAAAAAGAAGATATTAATAGATAGATATAAATTGGTATGCATATGATGATAGATATATTAGATAGATAGACAGATAGACATGCAGATAAACAGATAGACACACAGATAAACAGATAGACACACAAACAGATACATAAATAGATAAATAGATGAACAGATACATAATTAAATAGATAGATATATAGATAGATTGATAGACAGATAGACAAACATATGACAATTATGACAATAAATATTATGAAATGGTAAAGAAATATAATTCTTAGGCATCAATTCCATGACGGATCTAAAAGATATTTAATAGTGACAGTTAACAATTCACTCTGAATAATTTAAAACCTCTTACTAATGAATAATTCTTATTCTTTTAAAGGCCGATTATGGGTCTTTAAAGGTAAAGTTGAGTTCTGGTCATGCGAACAGGATGGAATCAATCAGAACTGTTGATCGTGTAGCATATAAGTATTGGTGTGTA